GATCGCTGCCAATAGAAACACATGTCACTTTGTATTGGATCGCTGCCAATAGAAACACATGTCACTTTGTATTGGATCGCTGCCAATAGAAACACGTGTGTCACTTTGGGTACTTTGGCGATGGCACATTTGAGAATTTGAAAGAAATAGAAAATAAATTTTTTACCAAACTTAGGAAGATGTCCGAATGGATTTTTTTTAATAAATGCTATTTTCATATTAACTATGTTCAATTCAAGTTATTTTTAAATAATCAAAATCATAATAATCGAGCTCTCACTCTTTAGTATGGGAATGTTTTCGATGAATTTTTGAATTTCTATCATTTGAAGTTAGCTTTGATAATAAAATCCTCATGTACGCTTGCGGATTGCGACATTTTAGTACCAATCGTCAAACAACAGTGATGCTATGTATCCCTATAGAATTTAAATTCATGGTACACTTGAGTTTACTTAGAACGATAAGTGTAAAAACGAAATGATGATAAGTGCCCAACAGCTAATGAACACCATGCAAATGCTTGTTTAAGTTTTTTAGTTCACCAGAGTGGCAAAAACTGATTATGCAGACATAAACTACATTTTTAAGTACCAACAAGAAAAAAAACAATGTATAACATCGGTGCGACGCTAAATATTTCTTGCACGTCCTGTAAGAGACGTCGTCTGGTCGATAAACCCCAGTAAATTGTGATCAAGTTAATATTTATTATCACTTCATCCCATTAAGTGAAAGTCGCCACTCTTTGCTGTGTGGCTTGGATAAGTTACAGATTCAAAGATTAATTCGAAGTTAAAGACTCGTCGTGTTTCTTGCCACGTACGTCTGGTCTCCATGGTGTTCAGTTCTTCGGCTTCAGAGTCCGACGAGGAAACTTCGGATTCAGAAGACGAAGAGGAGCTCGACCCATCGTCCTCGCCGTCTCCATCTTGTTTCAAGAAATAAATTATGTTTTTTACATCGGCCTCCGATTTATTGATGTCATGGATTGCAGGTTGCAAGCTAAGGATCTCAAAGCCAGTCGACATTGGTACGTACTTCTGGCTGTGCTCATTTAACATTAATGTTGACGGTGAGTTTTTCTGGAGATCATCAACTCAATACTTTAGAATAGATTAAGATTTACTGCCAGACATTTTTGTTTCCCCTCTTTAAATTTAATACAGTCTTCAATCAGTATACAAATTTCCATTTTAGGTTTGCTAGTTCCTTTTTTCCTCCCAAGAAGTGGAATAACTCCCAGCAAAAAGAAAATTAATTTTTAAATAGAATTGATGGGTCAATGAGGTTGTAAAGCAGCAATGTTACCGGGGAATATCCAGTCTCCCTCTGCGCCGTAGCCCGTCGAGAAGCCGTAGTAGGCGACGTGCAGGAGGCGGCGGGGGTCTTGGTAGACCATGAAGGGTGTGAGCTCTCCTTGCCGCCCGACCTGCCGGGACAGTCGGTTCATGGTGATTCATAATGATGCATCACGTTGTATCATTAAGATTCTCAACATTCTCGTTATCATTGTTGACAAGACCAGGGGTTTTTATAGTTCTCATCATTATTGTTCATCAGGTTCACCATTATTGTCCTCACACTCGCACCCTGATTGTGCCGCGCCGCATGGTGATCCAGAAGCCGCGATGTTCCTCGTCGCTCAGCACGCCCGGCGTGTCGACCTTCACGACGTCGTCTTCCTTGCCCCGCCGAATGCCGGACTCGTCGCCGCCCCAGCAACCGATGAACACCTGAAGGTGGTGGGCGGGTTACATCACACCAACGGCGTGCTGGGTATGACAGGTAATAGGGATGCCAGTGGGTGTATGAATCCTTCCTTCTGATACGAGAAATACTTTGGTGGCTGAAAAATTTGAATTCATGGTCATTGGCCAGGCGACTATTTTAGCGATTATGCTGCTAGTTTGTTCCAAAATAAAGTTTGGCCGGTAGAGATTAAGTAGAACTCTCGCAGCTCGTCACACTTAGTAATAGAAAATATGCCTTAGCTCTTTATTTTAAAATTTCTCGTATTGTCACGTTAGGTTTTCTACCGTTTGCTACCATCATGAGGCACGCGTACCTCGTACATGTCTTCGGGCTGCTCCGAATCGTCGGGGCTGAGGCAGATCGCGGCGTCTCGGGGAGCCTTCACGCTGAACTTGATCTTCGGAGTCTTGATGCGACGGAAGACATACTTGCGCGTGCTGCCGCAGTCGTCGCTGTGATACTCTGTGCCCAGTGTCAGGTCATCAGTTCCAGTCCTTTTGATCGCCTAACATAACTTAATGTGCCTCGTAGGCGATATATTTAGAACTTCACATTTATGGCTTATAAATAATGCTTCGCATACAATTTGAACAATGTTTCAATACGTATTTAAACTTTCCGGTCGCGCCTATATTTCGAATGTGAACAATTCCGTCCGATAATAATTCGTGTTGAAAATGCCCCAGTTCCCTCCAGCGCTACCGTGCCTTGCGAACACTTCTAAATACTGGTAATAACGATTACTTTTCTGAACGGCCACGTGGTGCAAACGATGTCATGTAAACAGCCACGTGTCATCTTCATAAAATGTAATATTTTACGTAATTCAAATAAATAAAAGAACATTATTCAGACATTACATATTTTGAGAAACGAATCGCGTTGTATTTATTTTCTAATAGGTATAATGTCCCATCTTCTCCGGAAACCTCATCTAGATTGACCTAAGAAAATTAAGCAAAATTGGCTCAGCATATGCTTAATTTTACATTCCTAATGTTTCTTTAACTCTACTTCAAATTGATTAGATGAAAAATTAGGAATATTTTTATTGAAAATCCCCAAACTTTTAAGACCTTTACTACAACCAATGCAATTGAATTTTAAACTTCGCTGAACACGATCTCGTTCTTTATAAATATGAACGGCAGAGTTGAGTGTTAAATTAGTCAAACATGTATGCTTAATTCGTTCTGTTTGATTAACTTAATTTTCATTGATATCTTGCCTAACTTAAGAGAAGTGGGTGCCTCTGAGTTGGCCCTCATTATTTTGGCATGCAGGAATAAGGTTTCATTACGTTGACACGCATTACGCTGTCACGCTCATTAATTCGTATACGCTGCTACACGCTTTATGTCCATAGCGTTCATTAATTCCTGCTCTGATACACATTTTAATATTAATAATGTTCATATTAACGTTTATTTCACTATTGTTAATTTAGACATTAATCGCGATCAGGAATTGTTGTGCAAGTGACATGTACGTCCTATGATTTACCTGAGGACTCGGCACAACGTGTGAGCAGACTTTGAACATGGCAAAATTAATTATTAACTCTCAGTTCCTGAATAATGCTTATTTTTTCTGAAGTAAAGTCGCACGTGCACGCATAATTATCATTCATGTTCATGTGCTCGTATCTGCTGATCATTATTCTAGTCACGGATTAGATAAATCAAATATTTTTACTCACAAGTACTCACCCGCCATATTTTTCAGGAGAACAAGACGCCGGGTTAAATAATCGCCAGTGTTAAACTGCCGGCCGTGGCCCGAGGAAAGCGGCGCCTCGACAATCTTCTTATCTTATCGTGGACCGCGCGGCGAGATATGCTGGACAATCATTAGGTCTTGACTCACCAGCTCACTCAGGCTCCACGTCTGCCTCTACCCTCCTGACCCATGTTCTGACTCACCTGTTCAATCAGACTCAAAGTCCTTTGCCAACCCGTCACATTTGCCAAACAACCCGTGATTAGTTTGGGTTTGTCTACCTGCAGGTATGATGTTCATGGCCAGTCATCATGGATGACCAAGCCAGCCGTGAATCTATCCTTCGAACTTAAATAAAGCTTGTTCAGTTTACGGTAACAAATCCTTTCTTATTTTCTTGACTCGTTGAATTAGTTATGGTAAATTACTTAGGGCGGAAATTCAGTCTTCTTCCATAGATTAAATTCAATATTTTTGTATAATTCTTGGGAAAAGGGCTGCAGAGCACATAAATTTTTACTATCGATTTTAAACGCAAGTAGAACCCCTTATTCGCGAAGATCCTGGTCACGATACACAAGCTCAAAACAAACGAGATGTAGCATAATCCTCCGTTCATCACACCTCTTTTCTATTCAAATGTAATCAGTATTATTGTGAGTTGGCATAAAATATGTCGTGTGAGTTGCATATTTGCTTTATTATACATCAATGAATATTTTCTTCTTCCATTTCATACAAGCCATGATTGAACTTAAAAGGTTGAATGACGAGCAATTTTCACTAATTTCCTTTATTGACTCAATGATAAACTTTCCCCATGGAAACGCCCTTCTTATATATAATATATAAATGTAGCATTTCTACACCTGTAATACCCGCCAACGATGTGTACTCTTCTTCTGATATTTCGTCCATACAACAATCGGAGGGACTGGCGGTAGAGTCTAAAGTGCCCCCGATCTCCCAAGGCATTCACAACAAACAAGAGTCTATTTACGCTACGGAAATTAACTTATATAACCACCAAAAATGTAAACTATGAAGTACTTTAACACAAGTTTAGTACAGTAAATGTAAATCGCTGGCTTGCTCTAAAAGTTCATACCAAAGACGAAGGAATATCTTCAGTAATCTTATAACCCCTAATATGATTACTGAAGGCAAATATCTCAATATAACGTGATAGGAGTATTATATCAGCCATCGACCGTCGGCCATTTCGGCTCTCTTCGAAAGTTGTGTATAAAAAATTCAAAGGATAACATCTCAAGTTAGTTTTCTGGACTCTTTCGTGTATTCGCCATCATTATCTTTGTTTATACGATTTACTGTTAACAAACTGAACTCAAAACAACACGCAGGTCATTGAGCACTTCGTAACTTAGCATTCCTAATCTACGGAGAAATGTATGCCATCTTACTGTAAAACTTTCTCAAACCCTGTCAATATTGGAGCAGAGGCGATATAGAACGACTAAATAATGGTCGTAAGTAGAGTAACTTGGCTTGATAATTCTATCAGTTTTCATATTAAGGATAGAATTTCGTGAACTGAAGAACTCATGCCCATGCGACAGAGAATAAAATTTTAATTTTTACTAGAAGAATAAAACTTTAATTAATAAAACTTTAACTTTTAAACTTTAATTTTTTATCCGCATGATCAAATTGAGTCAAATTTATGTTCTTTGTTAACTAGCTTCTAGTTCATTTCCTCGATTAAACGGGCAAATATGCACCTGTTCAAACTACCGCAAACATCAAAACTTGTTGGTTTCCTGCTTCACAATAGCCGCAGTCGCATATCAGGGCTCAGTCTTATCACTGATAAAGCAAGATACGTTCTGATGGAATGGCTAGGTTTACGCTAACATAAAAGGTGAGGCAATAACTTTCATTAAATAAGTTACGACATTATTGGGATATACAACATTAATTTTTTTAGATGACTGTCAGTGGAAACATAACGCTATGAACTGTTTACTAAAGATTCTTGATTCGATAAACATGCAACGTATTTGTGTAGATTGACTTTTCTGCACATGTGTTGTCAAGGCAATACGCTGCGGCCTGGAATGTACAAATCATTCTTTATTGCTGTTTTTATTTCAAGTCTGAAAATATTTTGTCATAATTAATTCTGACGGTCATTCGAGAAATGAAAAATTTACAATCACTATCCCTTATGCTTCGCTTTTTAGCTCATTTCCTCATTTATGGAAAAATGCACTATTGTGCTCGCCATGTCCGTCTGTCTGTCTATCTGTCTGTCTGTCTGTCTGTCTGTCTGTCTGTCTGATTGTCTGTCTGTCTGTCTGTCCGTCTGTCCGTCCGTGACCTCAAATTTTCGTCGACGAGAAAATGCGTTCTCTGTCACTCACTGCAGTGAGTACGGAGTTATATTTTTTTCTGCTTATTTTGGCTGACGGAAAAATGTACAATTTTCCTCGTTCATTATATTTTTTTCCACCAGAGAATGACCTTTCGAACCGCTTCAAGAAAAACCATGGCCTGCACGTAAACGCAGCGCCACAAGAATGTAACGAGTTGAAAAGAAAAATATTTTTCATGACGGTTTTTTTTCGAGTGCTGGAGCCGCTCTATCAATATTTGTTTAATAGCAATTACTATAAAACTGGTTTGGAGGAGAAACAGGAAAAAATTATGATATTTATTGGCACAGTAATTTTTAGGTGATCAAATGAAGCTTAAGTACACGTAGCGTCCAAACTGCACGCAGCGGCAGATGTCATGCCTATGATTGGTGTGTTTTGCATAAAATGCACTCAGTGATTGGCCAATGTATTTACTATTTTATTAACTCGTTACGCTTTTCGGTAGTGCGACCCTTGACTTTTACAGTGGCGTTCATCAGTTATAATCACTAACTTTACCTACTGAATTTGAAAGAAATACTTGAAAGTATAATCTTTGTATGCAAAATTCGAGGTATGAAAGCTATAGATTAGAACTAGAGCCAGCCTGGTGCAAGCAAAGAGTTTACCATAAAAAAGGCAAGAAAGCCCAGTGTGACGAAGGGCTGCCGCAAGCCAAAAAATACAATTGATAACTAACTATGCTCGCAGTGCCTCTTAGCGAGTTGCAAATACAGTATATCAGCTTTGCCAAAAATTGTTATTTAACAGCAATGTCCACGTACTAGTTCACGCAACTCCTTAACCTCAGGACGCCATTTTCATAATCTTGTCGCTAATGTTATAACGTTTAAAACTGAGACATCGTAAAATTTGATGAAGTATTTTTGTGGTATTAATATGGAAATATTAGTGTAGGCTGGCAGAATTTCTTCTCTTAAGCAAGTTTTGTTAAAGACCAGAGAATTAATTTTATTTATTAGCGTCTTATTTATTAGTTTTTTCGATTAGTCGTACTAAATTCTTCGTAGGTGTTGGAAGATTGAAAATTAAATTACCGATAGACATTTTTTAATATTGAACGACGTTTCGAATGTACAACATTCATTTTCAAGTTTAACTTGAAAATGAATGTTGTACATTCGAAACGAAAGAAGCTAATAAATAAAACTAATTCTGTGGTCTCTAACAAAACTTGCTCAATATGGAAATGTAGACAATTTTAAACATAAAACACATTTCTGTGACCCACAATGAATCTTACGTCAAATCAAAATTGATTAAACGTATAAACTCTGAATTTACGTCGGTTAGCCGTTGTCTTTACGTTATTTGCGTGGAGGCGCAAAGTTTGGACTTGTACATGACGGGATAAACCGACAATATTTCTGGGTGATGCGCGTTAGTGATGAAGAACTTTCTTTTTTTGCGATGCCAAGTATAGTAAATTAGCGAGCAATGTCAAATTGTATCACAAAATTTCTTGCTCCACTCATGACCTTGCAATAATAGTGTTCTGCTGTCTCTCAGACAATAAATTTCACTCTCTAGATCAAAATATGAACTCATTTACTTAATTGAACACATGGACATTTGAACGGCAATTTTCAAAATGGTAATTAATGTCTTATCCGAAAAGCTTGAGCTAACCAAGTTCGTTGAGCTGTATAGCTAAAAGAATCAATAAAAATTATTTCCTCTATATTTTCTACCACTTATTTTCTCAAGAAAACTTGATCGCTTTTCCATTATTTTACTACTAATAAAGGGGGTTTATTCGCTCTGAAGTTTCTATTTTTCTACTGTCTGTAAATTGTAAATAATTGAGCTGTAAGTAGGTTTTGAATTTGTTCGTAAATGGAACAAATTTGCTGGAGATTGGCCATGAGGTTATTAATTTTAAAATAACATTTGACAGTTAAAAAATCAGAAAAATTTGAGTTTAAAAATAAAATATCTGTGTTGGATGTCTTGCGAATTCATTGACTCGAATGAAAAAATATTTTCACCACAATATAACTAACGGGTGAATTTGATGTAACAAATGAAGATAATTCTTGCTCAAAATAATGCATTCGTGATACTGCCTTTGAATCGGTGGAAGTAACCGAATAATTTCAGTAGCAGAAATGAGAGACAAAAAATAAGTGACCACTCAAGTTAATTCCAAATAAGACAATTTCCCCTAAGCGTTTCCGCCGTTTACCGGAAGATCAAAGGTGCACTTCCATCCGGTTTTGTCGGCGGATAATCCGGATGTGTCCCGGAGCGACGTCCGCCAATCCAGTGGTGCGGAACGAAAAAACTACGGTGCTCTCTCCGAAGTTTGTTTCGAATCTGCAAAAGATTTATGAAACAAAATAAAATTTTGTGGCACACTTTTCGAAGTATGGAAACATTCAGAATATTTGTTCATAACACAATTTTGCATGAAGAGTTTGTCTGGAAAAATCCGGCGTTATATGCAATGTTCGATAATAGAGATAATTAATGAGCCAAGAGTTACTCGGTGGCGATGACGATGTCTGGCGGGCTGTCGGTGGCGTTCTGTACGACGAGGAAGAGCTTCGTCACGACCTCGATGACGTGCCCCGTCTGCAGGACGATGTCGCCCTTGCGCTTGCCCACGTCCGAGCCGAAGAGGCAGCCGCCCTGCGACGTGTCAGGAGGCCTGGGCGCCGTCAGGTCCGTGGTCGGCGACGAGGGCTTCACGTGCACCACAGCGATGTCGTCTGGGGGAGTGTGTGGTGAGTGATGTGGTGAGTGGTGTGGTGAGTGATGTGGTGAGTGAGTGGTGAGTGGGTGATGTGGTGAGTGGGTGATGTGGTTAGTGGGTGATGTGGTGAGTGGGTGAATATGATGGGTCGAGTCACATCTAAATCGTCAACACCATGCATTGATTTGCATTAGAATATTCCGTATCAAATAACTAGAAATCGATTGTTAAAATAGAAATAATGCTGAGATAAAATAGAATAATATCACAGCATCGTTGTTGGAGATCATGTAAAATATTTTATTTTGCTATCCATTTTTGGATTTCTTCTTCGATTCCGAGTGATTATATATCTAATGAAATTTCATTATTTTTAATGGAACAATCTTTTCGGGTTCATAAATATTACAATTAGCAAGTAAGAATATGTTATATTAAGTTAGGTTAGGTTAGGCTATTTTAGGTTAGGTTAAATTGGGTTAGGCTAGGTAAGGATAGATTAGGTTAGGTTGGGAAAAGTTACGTTAAGTTTTGTTGGTTAGATTAGGTAAGGTTAATATAGGTTAGGTTAATATAGGTTAGGTTAATATAGGTTAGGTCAATATAGGTTAGGTTAATATAGGCTAGGTTAATATAGGTTAGGTTAATATAGGTTAGGTTAATATAGGTTAGGTTATGTATTGACCCATGAACGGAGAGAGCGATATCCTGGCGATGTCGGCGGCGGGGATGCGGTACTTGAGGTGCAGCGAGCGCTGGTCCACCACCAGCAGCGCGTTCGTCGACACCGCCAGTAGGATCGGCACGAACTGACATACAAATTGAGGGTGAACTGCTCAACCTTTAATTTAATTTCAGGCTGTCATTACTTTTATTTAGCTTTATCGATAGTAATAGCACTGAAAGATTTTGTTTACAGCAGGTAGGCCAATACGAGACTACTTACTACTTTACGAATTTTACAAAATAACAATGAATATCTTGATAAAGGAAACGTGAGTATTTTCCTCACATGAAATTTATGAGGCGTTAAGCCAACGTAGATTTTATGTAGAGTGCTATGATGTCACACCATAACAGGGAAGAATTATATTTTGGATCAACATTGTAAAATTTATCAGCGAGATCATTTAATTATTGATCTTAGAACAAAGGTAAAAAATACATTATTAAGAGGTTAACTAGCGGACGTCACACAAATATCCCCTTTTATACTAATACCCTAAGACCTCTTCACAAACCGATTTAATATACAAATTTTCCGGCAATCACCTTGCCTGCAGATCTGGTGATCTTATTAACGATGTCAGCGAAGACGATGTAGTGATCGTTGGTGTCGGCAGCGATTTTTTTCCACTGCGCGTTCTGTCGCAGTCTCACGTAGTCTCCCATGAACGGGTGTCCTATGCTGCACGGCAACAAGAGGCCTCAGCTTTAATTGTTATTACAAAGTGCACAGCTTGTCGGAGATAATTTCAGGCCTATTTTTCTCATCATTAATTCAAATTTTTACTTCTCAGCAGTACGAGAATATGACTGGAAAATTGTTATTATTTATTGATTATCAGGAGTATTCAAATAATGAAGGTGCCATTACTGTAGGCAGATAACTGAAGTTGTTTAAGTTAATGATACATTTGTTCGCATTTTGTTAGACTTATTATTAGCGGGCAATGAAACAGTCTTTACTTAGACATTAATCGAATAATACCGTGTTGAAATAATTGTTTCAAAGATATGAAAGTCTAAAAAGTTCTTAAGAAAGCCTTGACTTGCCGCACCTTCTGTTGTAAGAAGCCTTGCGGTCCCTGAAGATGATGGACGCCGTCACTTTCTCCCGCATGCGGTTGCGCGCCGTCTGATCGAACCTTAACCGATACTGCGCGCACTGAATACATGGAAAACAAATTAATTTAAATTTTGGCTAACGGAGTAATTTATAGTACCTACATGGTATCTTATTGGATTTCTCCTTATCAAGAAGAGAAATTCCATAGGGCTTTATTATAGAGGAGTAGCCTGCATGATTACCGGATAATCTTTTCTGACAGGCCGGACGTGTAAAATTGTAGCAAAATGTTCTTGCTGACAATCCTAATCCATAAAGCAGACTCAGTTCATGATTGTATTGCTCAACGAGGTATAGCTAACTCAAGACTGAGTGAACTGATAGACTATTGTTGCGAGATCACTCGAGGTTCAGGCTGCAGTGTTTATAACAATCTGTCATAATTGTACGTCAAAATCCACTTCATTTTATAAAAATTACTTAGATTTTAAGCAAATTATTCATTGTTTTTCCAATACACAGAATACATTGCTTATTTCATTATCACAGAAATTTATTCATTGACTAGCAATGGGCGAACTTTTTTCTATACCAAATCAAAACTTCTTTTTGAAACCAGCTTCTCGATCTACCAACGCCAGCGAAAAGCCCCGTTTGACAAATTAAAAAAGTCATGAAACAATAAAATTATTAGTAAGATGCCTTTTCTGGTCTTTAATCAAATTTGTACCACAGAAAAATGCATTCATGATTAATGGTGCATGTTCTCATACATTGTATATAGTTGAGAATAATGCAACATTACGTTACGTACGTTTTACGTTTTTAATTAGTCAGACGTTAGACTGATTAGAATTGATATTATAAATAATAATAGCGGTTTCAGCAATAGCGGTTTCAGCGTTTATTAGGCCGTAAGCCTGTCGCCGATTCTTAACATCGCAGAACATTCACAGCTTGTTGCGGTCTCGAACGCGCAACTCGCTGCTACAATTCTGCTGTGCTTAACCGCCCGGCCTCCTCGCCGATTCTGACCAGAAACTGGCGCACAGAGCTGGGATCGAACCCGCGCCTCTCTGCGCCAATCTTGGTACTCTGTACTTTAACCACTGGGCCATAACCATATTGTGCGCAAAGTTTGCATCAGGACTCACTATCTGAAGGTTAGTTATGGAACGATGCAATTTATGTCACTTCTTTACGCTGTTTTTACACTTAACCTATTTTTTAACGTTGAGTATCTACGCATTAAAGTTTTTAGGACTAGCATTTTTGATAAAGCAGATAGAGATACCTTTCAAAACAAGTAGTTCTGGAGCTCATGAGCATTTAAAAATAATCGAGTTGGATGGAATAATAGTGGAACATTTTAGATAAAATATTACGATGTTCACCAACCCTGTTGAGGTGGTGAAGCCTCCTGAGGGCGGCGCTGAGGGGGGCGATAAGGATGGGTGCTGTGGGCCAGTCCTCGGCGATGGGAGACTCGCTGGGAGGCGTCGTGAGCAACTGCTCTAAGAACCTCCACCGCTGTCGGGGCACACGTGTGATGTTGTGTATTAGTCGCAGGGATGTGTGTGTTTTGTGTGAATATTTTGTCCATATTTTGAGCTAATGTCATATCCATGGTATTGTGTTGGTGCAGGAATGAAATTCGTTTAAACGATAGGCATGGTCAGTAGCTTTTGCAAGGCTCATGTGAAACGAATAATACGTACATTTTTTACCTGCAAACAGATGACGCTTGATCTGCAGCGTTAATTTTCGTTCTGAGATATCATAATAAATTTTTAATCAAGACAATTAATATGTAAGCAAGGTTTGTTAATACTCTATTTCATCAAAGAAGCCGCAACCGATAGCAATCTCATTTTGAAATAGAGCTAAATTGAAATGAAATGATAAACTTAAAAAATGAGTTGTAACACAACCATGCGACAATATTTCTTGTCGCGTCGAGTCACCGAAATGTGAAACAGCCTCCCTGATAGCATCGTTGACGCTCCGAGTATGAACGCCTTCAAGAACAGACTAGACGAAGCTATGCAGGAGCATATGTTCAGTCTTAAAATGCCTAGCACTTTACGGACCAGGCCAGACGTCCAGCAGCTATCTCAATAAATCATCAGTTATGGAAAGATCTGGTTCCAAAGGCCGGATCCCTTGTGAATCATTGAAGGCAACAGGACATGGGCTTATTTCTTCAGTGCCGACACTTCTATTTTATTCTATTCTTATTTTTCAGGGCAACACTTTGAGCACATTGGCTTTGAAAATTGCTCCCTAAAATAATGTCTCCCTACGACCTTATGATGCGTTTGGCACTTCTCAGTCCACGGTCCAGCAGCTATCTCAATAAATCATCAGTTATGGAAAGATCTGGTTCCAAAGGCCAGATCCCTTGTGAATCATTGAAGGCAACAGGACATGGGCTTATTTCTTCAGTGCCGACACTTCTATTTTATTCTATTCTAATTTTTCAGGGCAACACTTTGAGCACATTGGCTTGGAAAATTGCTCCCTAAAATAATGTCTCCCTACGACCTTATGATGCGTTTGGCACTTCTCAGTCCACGGTCAAGCTGATGCGCTGCGTTCGTCGGCCTCCGTCACCATGTCGTCGATAGACATGTCGCCCCGCCCCCCAGGTCTCTGATGTAACGTAATTGTGTATCGTTTATCTGCCCTTCCTTGGGCCAGCTGATGCAAGATGCTGTTGCTTGTCACTTACTGAGGATAGTTCCCACAACTGGACGATCCGGGATCTTGCTCAAAAAGTTGTCCTGTCGTCTCTTGAATGTCGCAAGGGTGAACTCCCCTCCTCTCAGCACCTTTGGCAATGCATTAAAATGCCTCGTTCGTTACACGGACAGTGATCCCTCACGAAGAGTCTGTTCTCGGGCCGCGACTGGGTTTTAAAAGGAGAAATTCTGCACAGTGTCCCTCGCCTTTCGTTGTAATATATCACTATTTTGGAGGTCTCACTGTTAAAGTTGGGAGCCAATCCAGTTATCATCTTCCAAGAGTACAGTATGTTATATCTATCTCTTCTCATCTCCTGTGAGTCCTATGACATATCTTTCTCTTTTCCTCTCCAAGGTGTTTCAACCTGCCCCAGCAATTCAGCTCCAGCTCCCTCGTACAGCTGATGTTGGACGTGAAGGTCCGCTGAACTGACTCCAGTTTAGGCCCTCGCCAGCCATGAGCGGCATCCAAAGCTGGCAGCAGTACTCAAGATTGAGGAGCAAGTGGGCTCTGAAGGGTGTAATCATTGGCGCTGCTTCTATCGTTCGAAGTGTACGCCAGATCCACTCCATCCGTTGTCTGACCCGCGCAACTATTTCCTGGATGTGGTCATCGAACACGGACGGCTTCTGTATTCATCAACACTCCGAGATCTCGAACAAGTTGATGGCGGCCTATAGACTATGGCTAGGAAGAGGTAGAGTTTTTTGATGTGGAGTAGCAGGTGTTCAACAAAGCCATTAGAGTTTCCAGATTCTGATCTAAATTCCACCGTGTTTCTTGCGAGGGAGTTCGTAAGTAAATGAATTACTCCTTCATTTTTCCTCCCTTCCATTCGATCCGCATGATATTGTTCATATTTTTCTACTGCAATTTCTGCATTACGGATGTTTTTTCTTAGGTGCAACTCCTTTAGTGCAATCATAAAGATCCCACTCTCGTCGGCCATCTATCTCAGCACGCCAATCTTGTTGCGCGCTCGTTTTGGGATGAGCCCCTCGATGTTGGACAGCAGAAAGACAGACTCTGCCCTTCTTGGTGCTCTTAAGAGCGGCGGTACCGCTCTGCCAGGCGTCTCTGGCCAAGTAGCTCCTTTATCTGGTGTTGCATTGGTTCTAGCTGATACAATTGCTGTTGCATTAGATTCATCATGTATAAAAAAAGCATGGAGGGTAACTTCTTGCCCCCCGCATGCTTCTCTGTCCCAAGCACATTGGCTACTCATTGGAGTAGCTAAGCCTTCCGCTCTTCTCCATGGACTCAGTTAATTTCCGCTCCGTACATCACGGCTCCGTACATCACCTCTCCTTACAACGGTGTTTATTTCAGCTTTACACTCTCTTCCCTGAGGGGGGGCAGTGGGCATCGCCATTAGCTGTGAGGGCATAGCATTGGTGCTCTCTATTTTACCAGTTTGCTTGATTTGATGTGGTAGAAACGGCAGCTTTCTTTGGTGCAATCCTCTCTACGTGATGCTCAACACATACGCAGATACGTGCCACTCACCAGATACGTGCCACTCACCAGATACGTGCCACTCACCAGATACGTGACACTCACCAGATACGTGACACTCATCAGTTACATGACACTCACCAGATACGCGCCACTCACCAGATACGTGACGTATGCGTTCTGTATGACTGTGGCCGCCCAGTCTTCTCTTCTGAACCTCTGCATATTCCTGACCAANACTCACCAGATACGCGCCACTCACCAAATACGTGACGTATGCGTTCTGTATGACTGTGGCCGCCCAGTCTTCTCTTCTGAACCTCTGCATATTCCTGACCAACGCCTGACCCTGCAGCAAAAACACAATTAACTTGCACGTTTGCTACACGTAAATTGATCTTAGATAAATATGACCCGGCTATATTAAGAATTAGAACAGTTCTATTCTTGAGGTGTGGGAACATGTATTCTGTATTGATATTCCAATTATTTAATTGTGCAAGTTAAAGCAACTACATAATAAAATGAAGCAACAAACATAATAGAAGCAAATAAATTATTTTATGCGTCACTCGATTTTATGTTCTTGCTCAATTTTTGCAGTCGGTAATGATTAATATCAGCTAAAAAGTTGACATGCACATTGCACTGGAATAAGTCATGCAAGAACGAGGGAAATTTCATGCCACTAAAAAAATCGCTACTCACCGTGTAAATGACATTTTCTGCTATGTTTATTACTCACCATCATCCAGCAGCGCCACTCACCATCATCCAGCATCACTCAACATCATCCAGCAATGTCACTCAAAGTAGCCCAGCAGCGCCACCCGCCATCATCCAGCAGCACCACTCACCATCACCCAGCAGCACCACTCACCATCATCCAGCAGTACCACTCACCATCATCCAGTAGCACCACTCACCATCACGGCGAGTGTCTCCTGGGAGTGGCGCCAGCGCTGCCGCTCGTAGAGTTCGTCTTCCAGCCGCCGTCGCACCTACGACGTCGTAACGCGTGACGCATGCAATGTAATGCGTGACACATGCAATGTCGTAAACAATCATTTAAGCTAAATTCAGTTAAGTTAAAGTTTACTTAAAATTCTTTAAACCCAAAATATCGCGGGTTTTATTATGGATTAGTTTCTGTTCATTGAAACAGTAAAATGAAATAGATTTATTTTCATGCAAGGACATGGGAAAGGAGCGAATAGAGTTACGAAAAATATAGGCCATAGTTAATGCATGCAATACAACGCCTGAAAATCAAATTCAATTAAGCCTAGCAAGACTCCAAAACACTTTCTTAGAGCTTAATAAGCTCTGAGGAACCCAATGGCATTTGGATCTCAATTATTAATACATGCAAGAATGCAAGATTATCATTGCAATCAATATGAGTGACGATTATTAATAACACTCGATTTTACGCACAGTTAACACACAGTTTTACGAACAGTAACACTCGATTTTACGCAACACTTATTACGTGCTTATGAGTACAAGGCAGGCAGTGACAGTTACATGCTTGCCAACTCAGAATTATCGGATAATAATTAATTTAAGTGCGTGATAATAATAGAAAAAAATATTCAGAGGATAAAAATAATTATTATGCGTCGGAACTTGGAAGCGTCAGACGCACCCGATGGCGGCGCCAGGCGCCAGCGATGATCGCCTGGGCGCGGCGCAGGCGACAGAAGCGGCGCCGCTGGACGTGTCGCCGCCACGTCGCCTGGATGGCCACAGCCAGCGCCTCCACCCTCGCCCGCCTCGCCTGCTCCAGCTCGTCCAGCTGCGGCGGCAGAGTGTGGTGAGGTGTGTTAGTTGAGGCGAGTGTGACGTGTGACGCATGCACCGAGGATCCCTAACAGGAGCCTCCTAACATTTCTTACCGAGGATCAATAACAGGAAGGGATTGTGTAGCTACGACAAGACTACTTAATAATAGTAAAGCCTTTCAAACTGACTATCCATTGAAATAATGAATCTTTAGAAACCGAATTAGTGCAACTAGATAAACGAATTTGAAAAAAGGACGTCATTATGGTAAAATGTGTTGTGATTAAGCCCACGAACGGAAGTTCATGTGCAACCTGCCGTAGGTCTTGCAATGCACCATTAGCAGTTCAATGTAACAAATTGCGTTTACTTATCCACCTTCAGGGTACAGAGCTTCCGTTTTACTATCTAGTAAGACTTGACCAGACCAGAGTTTCATATGCATGCGAACACTGCGTTCTGGAAGAGTGCGAAGATAAATACACTGTGAGTAAAGTAAAGCTTCAGTCAGCCATGGATGTTCGGCATACAGACATCTCTAGTACGGCCTCCTTCATTTCACCCCTCCCAGACTCAACTCCTCCCCCTCCCCTCTCCTCTCTCCCAACCCTAACCCTCCCATAAGCCGAAACCTCACTGCCACCCTTACCCCTGATCTGAGCCTCACCTCTACCTCCGCTTTTACCCTCGCCCCCCAGCCCTAACTTTACCCCCACCCCTTATCCGACCATCAATCATACCCCTACCCCCACAATTACTTCCAACCCCACTCTTCCCCCTGCCCGTACCCCCTGATGCTCACGCTGCTCCAACCCTATGACCTGTACCACTGCCTTGAACCTTCTGGATTTGGAGATCGGTTTGCCATCATCTTTTCAAACCTTACCCTCCTTCCAAGAAGCCTATCAGGCAGGCCGAGAGTTTGGAAAGGTGTTTGGTGGAAATATCTTCAAAAGAAATGTGAATACGGGAGAATGGTGAAGGATGCGCATTCTCACACCCTAGAATGCATTATAAATTCTTTGATTATGGAAGCGGTCATCCAAGAGGGTGCAAAAAAGGTATGCATTGCCCTTGCTATCATCCAACTCTGTGATAGAGTATCATGAACAGAGAGGATTGCCCCAAAGAAAACTGTCGTTTCCACATCAAATCAATAAAACATGGAGGAAATGTCAATAGAGCGACTACCAGTATTATACCCTGACAGCAATGGCGATGCCCACCGCAAAGCAGTTCCCTTGCGCTCAGGGAGGACAGAGCAACACTGAGAGAAGCGCATTTGGAAGGAGAGTTAATGTACGGAGTGGAAATGAACGGAGTCAATGGAGAAGGATAGACGACTTAGCTACTCCGGTGAGAAGCCGATGTGTATCGAGCAGAGAAACATGTGGGAGGCAAGAAGTTACCCTCAGTGCTTTTTTAGAAATGAAGGACCAAATGCACCACCAAATGTATCAGTTGAAACTAATGCAACTCCAGATGAAGGAGTGCTGGGCCAGGTACGTCTGGCGATCAGTATCGCTGCAGGTAAGAACACCAAAAAGGGAAGAGTCTGGCATTCTGCTGGCCAACATCGAGGGGCTCTTTCCACAAAGAGATCGGCGTGCTGGATTGGGAAGATCACAAGATTGGATCACAAGATTGGCGTGCTGAGAGATATGGCCGACGAGCGTGGGATCTTTATGATTGCACTAACGGAGTTGCACCTAAGAAAATATATCCTTGATGCAGAAATTGCAATGGAAGGATTCCCGCATTATCGTGCGGATCTAATGAGAGGGAGGAGGAAGGGGGGAGTAATTGTTTACCTTAAGAATTCTCTCGCAAGAAGCACCGTGGAATCGAGATCGGAATCTTGAAACGCTGATGGATTGGTTGATCACGTACTACTCCACATGAAAAAAAACTTGACCTCTGCGTAGCCAACGTCTATAGGCCGCCCGCTTGCCCATTGGAAATTTTCAACGAAACCCTGATGGAAATAGAAACCAGAATGGCTGGACTGGGTGAACCAGCCCCCAGCCTGATAACGTGGGGAGACTTCAATCCTCCAGGTATCCGTTGGACAAGTCTGGGCGGCTTGGAGGTTGGTGACCGCAACAGAACTCAAGTGGCCAAACTAGCGAAATTTGTTGCGGAACAATTGCTCAGTCAGCAGGTACGTTGCCGACAAGGGAACACAATATCCTCGATCTCTTTTTCACTAATAATGAAAGAATGGTGGTTGACGTTCGGGTTGAAGAAACCTCACTGTCAGACCACCGCCTGGTGATGGTGGATACCCAGACAATTTGAAGTGATACGCAGCCCAGGGCTATACCCTAAAAGTGACTGGCAGGACTCAATTTCCCCATCGAAGAACAGATTGGGAAGCAATACGAAATGAACTTGACGAAACTGATTGGAGATAAGAGTTTCACGAAATGAATGCAGAGGAATTTTACACAAAACTATGTGAGAAACTAGCACAGGTATGTGTGTGTCATACCCCGAGAAAAACAGGCTCAAATCTGCTGCATTCCGAGAGGCCGACGAATCCTCATGAGAAAACTCATACGATTGAATAAATAAATAGGTGAGTCCACTAGTAATCTGAGGAGACATAGACAAGTAAATTTGCACAAGGAAACCGAACTCAAGTTGCAGGATTCGCACAGGATGGAAGAAGAAGTCGCCGAGGAACGAGTAGTTGAGGTAATCAGAGAGAACCCAAAGAATTTTTTTTCAAATGCGCCCAGTCCAAGGCTGAAATAAAGACGCCAGTTATTGGCCCGCTGGAAGATCACGATGTCCTTGTTGGAGATGAACAGGGCATGTGTGAGCTACTAAGATCGCAGTTGAATCAGTCTTCACTAACCCTCTCTACTCAAGGGAGGAGAACGAAATCGAAGTTCTCCAGGAGCTGCCAGGTGGAAGGGGGTCGGATAAAATTAAATTTGGGCCAGAAAATATGGAAATAAGTATCAAAGAACTGGCGACGTTCTCAGCTCCAGGACCGGATGGAATTCCGGCAGTGTTGTTGAAGAAGCGTGTTGGAACTCTGAAGGCCCTGTTCACAATGCTCGGAAAGCCTCGATGATGGAGGGAGTTATTCCTGAGGGCCTAAAAGTGGGACTGATAAACGCCAATTTATATAAGAGGCTCAAAGGACAGACCTCAAAATTACAGACCGGTAACCTTGACCTCATAAGTGATCAAGGATTTTGAGAAGGTAGTGGTCAGTGGGCTTGTCAAGTATATGGAAGAGGCTGAACTACATATATATTAACGGGCAACATGGTTTCGCCGAAATCGTTCCTGTTTGCCACAGTTACTAGAACACCATCACCGCCTTATGGCCCTACTGGAGGAGGGAGCTAGCGTGTAGTATACCTGGACTTTGCTAAAGCTTTCGACAAAATGGCCATGCGGTGCTCTTCAGAAAGCTGAGACTGTTGGGGGTAGGAGAAAACCTGTTAGGTGGATCCACAACTTCCTTACAAATAGAGTACAAGCTATCGCAATTGGAAACTCGAAATCGAGAGAAGCGAGGGTGAAAAGCGGAGTGCAGCTAGTCTCGGTGCTTGAACCGATCCTCTTCCATATCCACTCGCCGATATCGACTCGGAACTTACACACGCATCTACATCGTCATTTGCGGACCATACAAGTGTGCTGATGAAGATCACAGTGGACCTTGCCTGCGAAAGGTTACAGGAGGACTTGTCGACAATCTATGATTGGGCCATAGTGAATAATATGCAATTCAACGGCACCAAACTTGAAGTAATGAGATACCAAGTTGACATAGATATAGGGATTCCACATCGCTACTTGGCATCGGATGGCACAGAAATTTAAGAGAGGTAACTTGTTTGAGATCTCTGATAGTTGATGAGTACTGAAGCCACGTTCGATGATCACATCGAGGAAATCGTTGCGCGAGGGAGAGAAAAGATGGAGTGGATCTGGCGAACATTTGGAACAAGCGAAGCAGCGCCAATGATTACACTCTTCAGAGCCTTCGTGCTCCTCAATCTTGAATACTGCTGTCAGCTTTGGGCACCACTCAAGTCGGGAGTGGTGCGAAAATTGTATCCTGTACGTGAAGACGTACAGGATCACCTGTATGAGGGAGCTGGACCTGAACTACTGGGAAAGGCTGAAACACCTGGGACTGTAATCACTGGAGTGGAGAAGAGAAAAGTATATCATACAGTACACTTGGAAGATGATAACCGGACTGGTTACTCAACTTTGAGTGTGTGACCTCCAAAATTGTGACGTATTACAACTAAAGGAGGGGGAGATTGTGCAGCATTCCTCAATTCAATAACCGTGCCGCGGCCAGAATAGACTCTTCGTATGGGATCACTGTCCGTGGTAGGACCAAGGCTGTTTAACGTCTTAACAAAGGTGCTGAGAAGAGGGGAGTTTGCCCTTGCGACTTTCACGAGACAAATGAACAAATTTCTAACGTAGATCCCGGATTGTCCAGTTATGGAAAATTACCCTTAGCACTCAACAAGCAACAACATTTTGCATCAGCTGCCCCCAAGGAGGGTAAATAGACGGAACATGTCCAACGTTACATATGGGACCCGAGGGCGGGGTGACCTGCCTATCAACGACTTGGAGACGGAGGACGACGAAGGCGGAGCATCAGATTGACCATGGACTGAGAAGTCCTACAATCATCATAATGTCATAAGGTTTGTTAGTTGTGGCAGGGAGTGGTGTGGTGTGTTAGTTGTGGTAGGGTGTGGTGCATAGTTGTGGCAGGGTGTGGTGTAGTGCGTTAGTTATGGCAGGGTGTGGTGTGTTAGTTGTGGCATGGTGTGGTGTATAGTTGTGGCAGGGTGTGGTGTGGTGTGTTAGTTGTGGCAAGGTGTGGTGTAATGCGTTAGCTGTGATAGGGTGTGGACGGAATTTTTTATATAGGCGATATTTCCCAAAAAATTGAATTGTCTAAGTAAAATTCTTCATATACTCAGCTTTTTGTGACTTTCAACTTTTGGTGCGATTTTGGCAAAACCGCTTTCATTGATCGTCGTCATAAAATTCATGGTACGCGTTTTTAATCTAATGATTTATCTGGTATTAATTTCACTCAAAATGTTAAATAAGTGTGAACTCTAGACATTCGATTATCATGCTGACTCAATTATAATTTTTTCCTTAGATTATCTGTTGGCAAAGTAGCAGAAATCACGGCTTTGCAACATTGCCAACTGATTGAAACAAAATATACCGTATAAGATATATAAAAGTTCACCGTGCTGTGCGTTTTGACGTAAACTCTCGTACGGCCGAAGGTGTACTGTGAGGGCGTGAGGCAGAGGTCTGCCAACAGCAGCGCACTGCCCTCTAAGCTCGAGCCTCTCCAGTGAGGCCATGTGTGAGGCGAGAGCAGCCCGTACCTGTGTAGGGATAGTGAGTGTGATGGAGGCTCAGTAGGACACAAGTACGTGGAGATAGCGTTGGATATGTTTGAGGTTTTCAAGGCCAGACTCAACTTTGGTTATGCAAATTTTGTTCTGGTCATAATGACACACCTAGGAGGAACTGCTGACCCACCTCTGGAGGAACTGCTGACCCACCTCTGGAGGAACTGCTGACCCACCTCTGGAGGAACTGCTGATGAGTCCAGCCTTGTATCCAGCCTTCCCGGCTCACACTGCAGCTCTCCAGCAGACTGCCCAAATCATGTAACAAAATTACAATATAATAATATCATATATAATTATATTCTCAATTTTGGAACGCACTCGCGTGTTCAGCAATAATATATTCGGCATACGTTATTATAAATGGTGAATATTTTTTAAAATAAATCTCCTAAAATTTACTAATTCTGAAAATAAATTCAAGTTACAAGAAAAGATACATAGGAACTTTTGCATGAAAATTGTATGAAACACTTAAGACACAATGAAAAGCGTGGGTTGGCATCAGAAATCATACCATAGTGATTTGAATATATTTTAGTATTGATCATTAAAGATGCTATCCAGTTTTCATACAGTGATATTTTGGTATATAATAAAAATGGTCCCATATAGAGAAGGGGAAATGGTACCACAATGTAGTACAATAGACAGAGATGACAACTGTGGTCCTGAAGGATATTACAGTGGTATCGGTGCATGGATGAAGTGGTGATGAAGGAAGGTTCGATGGTATAGAAATGTGAAATGCAGCAGTGATACCAATTGATGGTTGTCAGACGGATATTCGGCAAGATGTCCTCGCCTATTCAGTACGAGGCTTGGGGAACGACAAGCCTGTTTATTAGGATGGTCGAGAAATGTTTTCAATTCTCTCAAAACAGGTTATTATGCAGTGTTTGAAGGGGAAAATTTTCGGTGTTTTTACCTGGTTGGGATATGTGAGTTGCTCAAACTGGCTGATGTGTACCATATTTTCCTCATTCACAAATAATGCTTCGAATTTCGAACATGAGTGGCAGAGTATAATTGCTTCCTTAATTACCTCGCTGTACAAAAATGGTAAAGGCGAAACGTGTTTTATACTTGTTTGAAAACCGTGAGGAAGAGATCAAAGGCACAAAGCTGGCTTTTAGACGTTTAGTAAAAGTGGTTTTCTGTCTCTCCGTAACGTAGAGATGGTGAGGCTGAGTGCGCAAGTCTCTCCAAAAGTAATGACGCAATAGAAGCAAGCCCGTATTCCAAAATCAGGAAGACCAATATTATCGAGAAGATTATGATATTTCACAACAAGTGTCAGTCACAAACAAGAAAACCAGAAGCGCCGAAATCCTCATCAGCAGCAGACCTACAAAGTGAACTTGAGAAACCTGTGCGACGGACTGTACACTGATCACATGGGGCTCCTCAAGGACCCGAGGCTCCTCATCGACTTCCTGATGGCCCCTCAATAGCCAAGAAGACGGCGAGTTGATGGCGGTGTTGACACTGCCTGGCATAGCAAAAGACAGCAGCAGCGGAGAATCGTAAGCAGTTGGAAGAAGAGGCAACGGGAGAGAGTGGAGGCGGAGACGGTTGGTACTCTCCTATAAGTGTGTATATCACCTTGGTCGGATCCATTCGAAAACGGAAGAATCGCATGAGCTCTTGGAATGGCAGGAGAGACGTGAGGCGGCGGTGTAGGTCATCATAGCCTGCTTGTTTATCCTTCAATACGAGGCGAATGATTAAGACTGTGTCATAATGTAACAGAATCTGGAATTAGAGCCTCTGAGCTTGGCCAGCTGAAAAAAGCATGTTTCTGGGCTCATCCCGTCAGCCGCATTCTTCATCCGCTCATGAATAATCTTTTTCGTCCATTGTCCAATATTGGTTTCGAAGACGGTGCATAAAGTTAATAAAGTATTTAAATTTATCTGTATATTGATATGTGAATGAAGATGCATGAATAAATTGCCCATCATATTAGAGAGAGAAAAAGTTCTTGGTGTACACTAAACGTGCTGGTATAGAACAGCAACCTTCTGTATGAACCGTACTTTACACATCTTGGTGGTGACTTGGCAGCTCCTCGTCCAGCTGCCCTGTACCCTCACCAGTGATATCTGATTTGGTGTGCCAGCAGCTCCTGGTCCAGCTGCCCTGTACCCTCACCAGTGATATCTGACTTGGTGTGCCAGCAGCTCCCGGTCCAGCTGCCCTGTACCCTCACCAGTGATATCTGATGTGCCTGCAGCTCCTGGTCCAACTGTCCTGTACCCTCACCAGTGATATCTGATGTGCCTGCAGCTCCTGGTCCAACTGTCCTGTACCCTCACCAGTGATATCTGATGTGCCTGCAGCTCCTGGTCCAACTGTCCTGTACCCTCACCAGTGATATCTGATGTGCCTGCAGCTCCTGGTCCAACTGTCCTGTACCCTCACCAGTGATATCTGACTTGGTGTGCCAGTAGCTCCTGGTCCAGCTGTGCCGGCAGTTTCGAGTCGTTGGGTTTGAGGCAGTGGACGACGCTGATTTTCTTGCCCGCCACGTGGCGTACGAGCGACGCAAGTGAGATCTGCGCCTGCGCCACCACGCTCGCCGGGCGCTTGTGCGGCGCTCGCCGTGGGTTGCCTGAGCGAGTAAAATAGTTTTCGAATAAATTTATATGTGAATGTAATTTAATGCACCCAAAAACAATATTTGACGTAATAAGCATTCAGGGTTGTATTGAATTGAGATAATTTTTTTCGGAAAATACTGCAGTGGTTGTGATGTTATATCACAGATTATAATTATCATTTTTCTGACGTTGAAAACCATGATTTGAAAGTTGTTCACGTTCTCCAACGTATTCCAAATTATTTGAAACAGAATAGAGTACGAAAAAGGTCACATCTCCAAACGTAAATCGAGACAGCGTCTTCTGAAAAAGAAGTAGTTTTAACTAGACCCGATATCAAAATAAATATGAGAAATACCACAAATATGTGACCTTCAGGGAATAGTGAGCTAAGGAAGAGGTGGTGGCTGCAGTGCATTGCGTGACTCAGGTCCTTGGACAGCTCGTCCAGGTTCTGGGCGAGGAAGCCTTTAACGCTGTACGTCACCGACCCAGCAAAGTGACGTATTCTGAGCAGTGCGAAGTTACAAAATCATAAGAGGAGAAGCGTTACAAGAAGTCACCGTGTAACATACTGTTAATTTAAAAGCATATATTGGAACGAGACTGCGACATTAATTTAGGTGGCATCAAACATTAGGACCTCGACGGGCTAATTGTTGCGGACTGTGGCAGTCAATCATGTAAACAACAATAAATAATAAATAAGTTACCCGATATCGTCACCAACAATTAGTTACCTAAAAGCATCAACGGGAAGATTATTATCGGGATGCTGGTGCCTGCTGGAGGTGGCACTTGAGGTTCCAGGCTTGACATCGACACAGGGATGCCCTGCGTAGGTCTTCGCCAGGAGTTTCAGGAGGTCTTCTTCCTCATAAGACGAAGACGCGTCCCCTTGCGTCTGACACGCCTGCTGGGAGGGTCGTTTGTGCAGACAAGAGTCAGGGTCTGGCGCGGGACGAAGCGTCAGTTCTTCTATTAGCGCCAAGACGCCCGATTTGCTCTGTTTGTGAAAAAATTACGGGAATATATTTTTTCAGGAACGCTGTACATTCTCCTTCATAGAAAACTGCAAAACGTTATAAAGAGGATGAAAAGTTTAAGATGCCATGAATTTGTATTTGAAACGCAGAAATCATTAAGAAATTTGTGAAAAATGTCGATGCACGATTGTTTAATAAATTAACTCGAATAGCGGCCAAAAATGATTTACGGCTCCAATATCGAAATTTGAACGAGATGCAAATTCCTTAGCTTTTATTCTATCCGAACTTAGTGTTTCAGGCCGAACATCTCCTGCAAAGCACAGTACCTGCAGTGCACAGTACCTGCTGCAGTAGCTGCAGTGCACAGTACCTGCTGCAGTAGCTGCAGTGCTGGCATGCCCACAGGACTGTCCAGCGTGATCCAGTCGAGCCCCTCCCTCACGTACTCCTCCTGCCGCTCCTGCAGCGTCGCTTGCCTCACCACCTGCGCAGTGCACGGCGCTCGTGAGTGGAGCTCGGCAGTGAATAAATCATTGTCCTGTGAATCGCTGCATGCTTTTTAGCATTACTTATTCAAATCAGATGCATTACGGCGAAGTATTAATGAGTGGGACTTCAATCGCGTATTTGTTTTTATGGAGTGTAGAAAAACAAGCATCCTTCGAACCATCCTTCGAGAGGCGAGTTCAGTGCACCACTCGCCTGCGTGAGGCGCTCGTTGCTGTAGTTGATGACGAGCTGCGAGAAGCTGTTGCGCTCCAGGATCTCGAAGCCGAACACGTCCACGATGCTCAACACCTTCCGTCTTGACGGCTCTCCGACCTGCACAATATTCAGTGACATTTATGATATTATTCTTATGGTAATATTAGTAATATATATATTACAATAATATTTGTGACATTAATATTTCAGAAATATTCATTGTTTGTAATACAATTATTACGGGGATTTGTGTTACATTAACGGTACAGTTTAGTTTGTAATATTAATATTACAGTGATATTTGCAATATTGATGTGAAACGATTTTACCAATCGATTACGGCATGAAATCACAAATTTTATTAGAACCCAATTTAGAAAATTTTTCTTTAATTCCCCCTATCATTTATTTTATATATTATATTTTCATTATGGAAAAATCTATCACCTTTCTTCATGATAAGTTGTTTTTGGTTTCTGGTACAATTTTCCAATGACAAGAAATTAACTGAAATATCGAGTCATAATTTGAAACCTTCACAAAGGCTAAGAAATATCAAAGAATTTTACTTGATATTCAGTGAAGAAAGCAATAAAACCGAGTTCATGTGCGAATTCTTTACAAAATCTCAAAGGGAATAGGTCTAATGAAGTATTAATTCAGTCTCCATTTAAAATAATACTAGAAGATTTACTGAATTAATACTGAACGTTACTGATGGAGAATGCGTTTCTCCTCACGACGCAGGGCTAAGTTTGTTTAGCTAACGTATTTAGTCTGAATTAAGAAATTTATTCCCATAGCTGATTATATATAATGAATGCACCTTGGCGACATTAATACCTCGTATAAAAGTTATGCACAAAAAAAAAAACTCAGTTAATTTTCCTAACTTATACTGACTTTGAGCGATTGGTTGATTCTGGTAACGAGCCACGAGAAGAGTCTGGCATAGAGTGCCTGACAGAGAAGATTTCTGGCAGCGATGGCCTGACAGGCTGTCAGCTCCATGCTGACAGTCTCCTCCTCACTGCCAGCAGACGAGCGCAGGCGCAGCGCCTGCAGCAGCTGACGGGGACTGCATTGCAGCAACTCGCACGCCTCGCGCGCCTCTGTGCGTGGCAGGAAACTCGTCAGCCGTTCATAATATACATGGGAAATATGCTTCATATTAACTGCTTAAAAATGAAAAAAATTAACCGCCTACCTCATTGAAACTTGACAGACTCTCCTCGTCAAAATATCACATGCATCTACCGTGCAGGTAATATAACGAACATCTGTTCTATATTCTTACTCGGACCATGTAAATACAATAAGCAATGGCTCGCAATCTGAATGAGACAGATTTTAGTCTCTGACCGTACCAACAGAAGGGTACTGACCGTACTAACAGAAGGGTACTTGCCGTACCAATAGAAGGGTACTGACCGTACCAACAGAAGGGTACTGGCCGTACCAATAGAAGGGTACTGACCGTACCAACAGAAGGGTACTGACCGTACGTACAGAAGGGTACTTGCCGTACCAATAGAAGGGTACTGACCGTACCAACAGAAGGGTACTGACCTACCAACAGAAGGGTACTGACCGTACCAACAGAAGGGTACTGGCCGTACCAATAGAAGGGTACTGACCGTACCAACAGAAGGGTACTGACCGTACCAACAGAAGGGTACTTGCCGTACCAATAGAAGGGTACTGGTCGTACCAATGTAAGGGTAGGCAGGTGACGTATGCATAAATGGTCGTATAAACAGCAGCACATTATAAGGACAGTAAAGCGAAACAACCATACCACTGCCTGCCACTAACAGCACCATTTACAGCGCACTGACCGTTCCACTGCCTGCCACTAACAGCACCAGTTACATCGCACTGACCGTACCACTGCCTGCCACTAACAGCACCAGTTACATCGCACTGACCGTACCACTGCCTGCCACTAACAGCACCAGTTACATCGCACTGACCCTACCAGCGCCTGCCACTAACAGCACCAGTTACATCGCACTGACCCTACCACTGCCTGCCGCTAACAGCACCAGTTACATCGCACTGACCCTACCACTGCCTGCCGCTAACAGCACTAGTTACATCGCACTGACCCTACCAGCGCCTGCCACTAACAGCACTAGTTACATCGCACTGACCGTACTCGTTGTGGAGCGCACAGCCCTCGGTGCCGTCAATGTTGTTGACGGCCGTGAAGCCGACGTTGCCGAGCTTCAGTACGGCCGCCACGACGCTGAACACGGCCAACTGCTCTGCATCGTCCAGCCCCAGTACGTCCAGGGCGTGCTGAGGCCGTCAAATGCAAGTTATTACATTTTTTGTATTTATTAGCCCATATTTTTGTATTATTAGTTCACTGTGCGATGCTCCCAGTGGGATTTTATCGCCGAATATCAATTACAAATGATCTAAATATGATCCTAAATTGCCTGCATATCACATATCCGGTGGTTAACCCTTTTTAATTCACTGTTACCAGAGTGAACATGCTATGCACATGGCGGTCCCATGACATATAAGGAAGCAACACCACGTATTAGTGCTAGTGCTTACTCTGGTCCCGGCGTATTCGTGTTAGTGCTTACTCTGGTCCCGGCGTATTCGTGTTAGTGCTTACTTTGGTCCCGGCGTATTAGCGTTCGTGCTTACTTAGGTCTCGGCGTATTGGCGTTCGTGCTTACTTTGGTCTCGGCGTATTCGTGCTTGTCGACGTCAGCCTCAGAGGCCGCTGGTCGTGCTGTTGTCAGCATCGTGTACTGTTCAGAGCTTCTCTGCAGTCGCAGGCTTTCTGTGAACACGGAAGACATGTTTTGAACGTGGCTGGAGTGTGTTGCTGTCATGTCATGAACATGACTCAATTATATTACGTTCGACGAATTTATCCGATTATTTGCTTAAAAATTTAACGCTATGAAGAATGGATTACGTCTCGTAAAATTGTCGATTTTTGATTGCATCAAGATTTTAGCTGAAATTTCAGTTTTCAACATGAGTTGAGATATTTTTTTCGAGAGTTCTTTCACTTTTTCGAAGAATATTTATCGACAAAATTACTACCGAATAAAAACAACCCACCAAAATGACAATGCACAATACAGTAAATATGAGGGGAGCTGCTACATATGAGGACAAATAAAAGGTTGCCTGCATCAGTTGTGAAGTGCACACATTTCCGGTAGAGTATTGCTACATGCACCCGCTGATAATTTCATAAACCCAGCGACGAGGTCTCTATACTCTTAAGAGCTGCCTCATGCCACCTCCTCGCTCGGGATAGGGGACAGAGCGCCTGACAGTGAAGATTTCACTCAAGAATTACTACCAATCTGGGGTAACCACTTACCAAACAGCATCTAATGATACACACAAGAATTACCCTCAATCTGGGGTAACTAATTACCAAACAGCATCTAATGACACAATAATTACCCTCAATCTGGGGTCACCAAATACCAAACAGCATCTAATGACACAAGAATTACCCCCAATCTATGGTAACCAAATACCAAACAGCATCTAATGACACACACAAGAATTACCCTCAATCTGGGGTAACCAAATACCAAACAGCATCTAATGACACAAGAATTACCCTCAATCTGGGGTAATCAAATACCAAACAGCATCTAATGACACACACAAGAATTACCCTCAATCTGGGGTAACCAATTACCAAACATCATCTAATGACACAAGAATTACTCTCAATCTTGGTAACCAAATATCAAACAATATCTAATGACACAAGTATTACCCTCAATCTTGGGTAACCAAATACCAAACAGCATCTATTGACACAAGAATTACCCTCAATCTGGGGTAACCAATTACCAAACAACATATAATGACACAAGAATTACCCTCAATCTGGGGTAACCAATTTCCAAACAGCATCTAATGACACAAGAGTTACCCTCAATCTGGGGTAACCAATTACCAAGCAGCATCTAATGACACAAGAATTACCCTCAATCTGGGGTAACCAAATACCAAACAGCATCTAATGACACAAGAATTACCCTCAACCTGGGGTAACCAGTTACCAAAGAATTACCCCCTCATATAAGTTACCCCAGGCTGGCACTCACTGAGTACGGGGGGCGGGGCGCCCGTCACGAGCTGGTAGCAGAAGTGGAAGCCGCGCTCGCTAGCGTGGCGGCGAGTCACTCGACCCTGTCACAATATAAGGGGAATTACCTGAACTTATTAATAATTATTCCTGTATAATTATTATACTTGTGTTAAGTGATATGGCTGAGTAGTCGCATTGCAATGCGCTTCAACCAATTTAGACATGCTTGTTAACACGAATACATGAATAATTACACTGTCGTACTCCTGTAATTAGGCTATTGTAATATTCTTCTGTTGGTTCTCCACGTCAGCTATAACAAATCTATAAGTAACAAATCACGCGCTGCCGTAAACTACTTTATTAAAGTAGCAGCAATCCATAGTACACGTAAGATTTGGATCAGAAGGAGACGTCCGACGAGGATGGTAGCTTAGTATCAACAACCCTAATACATATAACTAGTTCCTAGTAAGCACAGGTTCGCAATACAGTTGCTGCCGTGATGTCGGGATACCTACTGTTTTGTCGTAACAAATTCTTTACTGCTATGCATGGTTATTGTAAATGTTAGACCCAATTTAAAGAATTCGTAATGATTTGAGTATGTAGTCAAAATGTATAATTTATACTCCAGTGGAGAGAGAAATATTTTTTTTTATCTGGCGCATTAATATATTTGACAATAAAAACCGTCAAAAATATGCATTTAGCATCTCAAGTAGTAAATAAAATAAAGGGCATTGTTTGAACTACTCACTTTTTCCAGTAAATCTGGTGTCGGGAAGCAGTAGGAGATAAAAAATTATTATTATATTATCATCTAAAACTTTCACTCCAATCATAGCGGAAAATTACTATTGTATTCTATTGCATAATACCTAATCACAATAGCTAAGTAGTAAAAATTTTAATCTCGCCTGTTATAAGTCGGCAGAAGTGACAGACTACTTCACTACGTTCTTCAAGACCTGCATAAAATGCGTTCCAAAAGCCATAAAACATTTCATATAACTTGTATATACAATCACTTTATTAGCAGGCATATAACACAGCCATGAACTGCTTCTGTTGCAGCCTCGTGACACTCACAGCAGGTGAAGGTGCCACCGACAGCCTCCCCTCTGTGGTCCAGCTCCAGCTCCACGTGCTTGGCCTGCGTGGGAAAAATTTACGTGTTCCAGAGGACGGAATGAGTATGTATTGTATAATTATATAATTGTATAATTGTATAATAACATTGTATAATGAGATAACAATAATATTATTGATAGCTACAATAATAGCAAGGATAAATGATCTCGAAAGATAAAAATAAGTAATTTAACAGATTATATGAAGTGAATATGAACTTTAAACATTTACAATCGAAGCCAACGAATAAAATGGCAATTAAGTACGGCAAAAAGCCAAATTAGGACACAATAAATTGGGTGGCGGTAAATTTCGCTCAGTAACGATGGTGTGATAGTCTGGGCGGACAGCTCAGCTGTTCTCTCTTACCATTAAATGTTGCTGCATTGAATGAGAGCCTCAAGGTTATATTAGCTTGTAATTGAACAGTCTTTACCGATTATCATATTCGCTTAATGACTGATTTTTTAGCAGAAGTCATGACTAATATACAAATTTTCAATGTTTTATAGTGGAAAACGCAAAAAGAATAAAATTTGTAAAATGAGCATGAAGTAGCAGAAAACTTTAGTGTTGACATTTGACTGGAAAGTTATACACGTTATCTGAGCAAATACTCGAAACGATGAGTAAAGCTCAGTGACAGCAACCTACGTCATATCATTGGCCAAGTTATTTGATTAATTAAAATTATAATGGCAACTTTTAGTGTACAGTTAGTGCAATTGATTGCTTGTAAATTAGAAGTAAAATCCATCCAATGAAGAATTAATTAAGTTATTCTGAAAATTATCGTTCATGACGGTAAAAAAAACTCAAGAAAGAACATGAATAATGAATGATAGCACATCAAAGCATCAGAAGGAATTAACTCAAAGTCAATTTTAATTACTACTTGTTTTAAAAGTCTTCGAAGTTCAAAAAACCCCACTTCAAAGCTCTAAGAAATTTTTGAACAACAGAATACGAGATTTTAGTTTCCGCTTAAATTATCAGCCCGTTTGAAATTCCTCACACAAATTTTTCACTTTAATTTCAATGGACTTCAGCAAAAGTGAAAGTCAAGTACCTAAAGTGAAATTTTGATCTGTCGGAAACATATCCGCTCTTCTTATCAGTTGAATCAATAAGCTAATGCAGACAGAAGTAGGAAGATCAAGAATTTTAAATTATATAAAGTAGCATCCATTGTGCCTAATGAAGTCGATGAAGAACAAACAATTAAAAAGCTCGGGTCGTTTATAGCGGCCGGTGTGATGCCATCGCTACTCACGAAGCGCGACGCGTTGTCGTTGTGCCGAGTACGCGCGTTCCCGAAAGCTGGTAGGTGAAATTATTTCACGGTTAGAAATATTGAAGGATTTCAATCATAGAATAATTGATTAAAATCTAAATTAATGAGAAATATTACATGCTTAATTGGATTGCATTCTGGAAAATGTATGAATAAGCAATTGTTAGGTTTTTGTATTTAAATATCTGCTGTCTGATATAATGTATCAATAAAATACATAATATATCTGTCATATCGACATCGACGAAATTAGCGCCAACAGGATAAAAAATTCTACGAGATTGCTGTTAATAATTGAAGTGTTGTCAGAATCCTGGGCTCATATTCGTCATATCCCGTGTCTAAGAACCTGTCGGCATTTCATTGGAGATACTCAACGCTGCTTCCCAGTACATTTTATCAAATCTATTGCTGTTAGCAACATGAGTACAAGTTCGTTATCACTAATACACGTTTCTTGAAACCTGCGGTAAGTCACGATTGTAACGATGTTGCAGGTAATTGTAGTGAGACGCTTTCAGAGAATATAATCTGAATTCACGCGGTAGCTCCTCATTTCTTGTATAATATGAAGTTTACATTCTATTACTACTTCATATTGAAGTCGGACTTGACAAGACCCTGATCTTACAAACACTAATCACAATATCCAATGGAACCTGGTTAAATACATTTGTTGTACATTATTATTGAACAACTTCCCGCTTATACTTCATATTGTTCAGCCAAATTCATATCACAGTGATGTCAGCGCTGAAGAATAGGCTTGATGGGGCCTGTCGCTGATTCTTTAACTTTTCGTGACTTATTTACAGGAGATCTAAAAACCGGTCATTTGGCCGGATCTTTTCAAAACTTGATCTTTGAAATAGCCACTATAGACTAGCACTAGATGGTGCTAGGCATTTGAAGTCTGAACATACATTTTTTTATAGCTTTATCTAGTCTGTTCTTGAGCGCGATATACTTGGAGCGTCAACGATGTAGTCCGTGAGGCTTTTCCACAAAATCAGTGACTAGAAAGCGGGAAGAAATGTTGTCGCGTGGATGTGTTGACGCAATTTTTTTAGTTTATAGCCGTGGCCCCTGGTGCTGGTTATTGTTTCAAATTATAGTAATCCTTCTGGAGCTCTGTACTTAGGCCCAAATCTCCCAAATGTACCGATAAAGAAATCACACACCCTGAATTCTGCAATCATATAGTCTCTTGCCACGAGTTATTTCTGCACCAATTGCAGCAACGCGAGAATTAACTGATCAGTCCTACCAGGATTAACGTTCTGTTGGGCTCGTAGACGGTCGTTAGTTTCCGAAAAATAAGCACCATCACCAAGATCAGGCGACCCATTAGCTGTTCGTGCTCGCTTCGATCACACACTTAAAGTACTTGACTGGTAATCTGGTGTTCCTAGGTTACAGCAATACTCAGACTACAACTACTGCCCACCTTGCAACACACGGTCCCCGGCCCTGAGCTTGCAGTTGCGGGCTGGGGTTACGTGGGGCGGCGTGAGGAAATTGAGAAGCAGCCGAGCGGCCTCCGTCTTCCCCGAGCCGCTCTCCCCACACATCAACACCACCTGGTCCTCCTGCAGCTCGTACACTCCCCGCCGTGCCCGCTCCCCTATCCCGAACCTGGGGTTCAGAGAGGTTCAGGAGACTTAAGGAAAGGCTTCTAAAATGGGACATTTGTAGAACTTTGTCCTAGCCAAGAAGTCCTGAGTGAAGAGGAAAACCAATGTTTCATATCTCGTACTTCCGTCATTTGTCTCCCAACATTGAAACGAACTTGCAAATACATTTTTCGAGTATCAATTTAGTCAGGTCTGTGTTCGGAGTTTCTTCAAGTCTAATTGAAGATGAAATTCACGCGACTAAAATTCGTGTAGATTAAGATAGATTAATTGATTAAACATGAAAAAAACATGAGGTATGTTAGCAAATAAAATACAAACAAATCTAAGCACATCTTTCTGAAAAAGATTTACAGACATGCTGAAAGATTTTATGAACGATTAAGCTGGACTCCTCATTTTTATTATCTAAATCTATGCAATTTCTTGGCATTTTATTTGCAACTGACTTAATTTTTAGTTCAATATTCATAGCAAAATTCTTAGCTATGAATGATGTCTATATAATGATGAAAAAACGTAGTATCTGGTGGAAACTCGCAAAACTTCATATAAATATGATGTATGGCAATCGGGAAATTTGTTGGGGTTTGAGTAATGCAAGAAATTCTGAAATATAATTAACTGAAGGTACGGAAAAAGATACTCTTTCAGCTCCCTATTACACCGGATAATATGTTATCATTGCCCTCACATTTCATTACAAATGAATTTTTGGACAAATTATAGGCCAGCTCTATTGTGCAATTGATGCTCTCGATGTTATTTGTTTGTTCCCATCTTCCTGTACAATCTCTTGCTCCCATGTTCGCCCCGCAGTCTCTTCTTCCTCCTCAGGCGCTGTCGTATATCGGCATTTGATCAGCGATTCTGATGCCACTTCTGGAGAACATTCCTCTAAATTTCGCTCTGTTTCGAGTTCCAAGAAAATTAAAAAAATTGTACAGAAAGAAATATTCGTTGTCCTATATATGGTGCAACCGTTTGTGCATGTATAATTAGTACATTCGTTAAGTAATACGATAGAGATGATCGGTATATACAGCACGAGGAACAACTTATTTAACATCGATTTTTCTTGATTATTCTTTTGCCAGTGAACTAGATTTGAAGATTCGGAATTACCATGAAAATATCTATATCATATATGTGCAATATTCCTTTTTGAAGTTTCAACAAAATATTACTTTATGGAACATTCATGAATCGTTGCCGCCCAAACAAACTCTATGATGAATTGATGGTAGAAAAGTTCAATAATGAAATTATGAATGTGAGCGCCGTACTTGCCATCACTGATCCGGGCACAAAATTGATTGACCAAGCGTTTAAAATAAGATGAAACTACTCATAAAATCTGTCAGTCTCTCTTCAACTCCATCAATACTTGATATAAGACGATTTTTGTGATATTAGCAGTGAAGTGAAAAGCATTTATTTATATTTTTATTATTGCTATGGCATAATTTTACTTCGCTTGCGTAAGGTCTTCTAATTTTATTCATGGTTTGAATTATTCAAAGTTGAATAAAAGGATTTGATTTCTATTGCTGTGGGCCTGGAGGGAATTTACTCGCTCTGTGACCGATGAATTAAAGAAAGATCTAGAATTATTGGGCAAGCAATGGGCGATAAAAATGACTGGGAGCAATGCCAGATAACATCAACAAATGATAACGTTAGTTATAAATGAAAGATGATTCGTTTATATTAACTATAGAGCAGAGAATGCATTCCTTATATAAAGTGAACAAATATGCGATGAGCGCGGCTAACGAACAGACATATTCCTCCAATCCCTGCAGACATGAGATCATACGCGTGACTGATGGAAAATATGGCTCACCTATGACGGGTGATGGTGCTGAGCGCCTTCATCCACACCACCGCCTTTATGTCCATAAGCCCGCCGGCCTACATCTCATCCTTGTAACATCTACATTTGTAAATAAATACATCCACCGACATTCTTCTTCCCTCACGCCGCCTCCCCCACACCCACGTCTTCCGCCCCTATACTCTGCATATCAGCCTCACAAACCATCATATTCTCTCCTTCATCCACCGACCTCACGTACAATCCTTTTTCTTCTCATCCACCACTTTGCTCATCTACTCACCACTCAAACAATTTACTAACCCCTCGCTCCCTTCGTCACCCCACCCATAAGCTACTCTCCTTGTCCATCAACCTCTTGCCTCAATTCGCTCCTCGTGCTTCTAATCTCTTTTCCCATGCCTCACTCCCTCGCTACCGCTGCCCATGCCTCACTCCATCTTGCGCTGTCAGTGGTATTCCTCACTACACACATATATACTGTATGTGTCCTCATATATATGAGGACACATACAGTACACATATATATGTATGCCCCCTCCATTTCTCCCTCGCGCCTCACCCCCTCGCTGCCCATGCCTCACTCCCTCGCGGCCCATGCATGCTTTTTCCTCACTCCCAATGCCTTATCTCCTCCATTTCTCCTTCCCGCCTCACCTCCGTGCTCCGCATACCTAACCATCTTGCTGCCCCATGAGTCACCCTTTATCTCTCCATTCCTCATTCCCTCGCTCCCCACGCTTTTCCTCTCTCTCACGCCGACCCTCCTCTCCCCTCACTTGACCCCCTCGCTCCCCAGCCCTCTCCCCTGAGGCAATGTGGTCGACAGCCTCCCGAGTTATGGCGGCCTGAGCAGCGTCCAATTGCTGGGCTGTGCTGCTGTGGTGCTAATTGTGGTGCTGTGGTGCTAATTGTGGTGCTGTGGTGCTAATTGTGGTGCTGTGGTAGTAATTGTGGTGCTGTGCTGCTAGTTGTGGTGCTGTGCTGCAAATTGTGGTGCTGTGCTGCTGATTGCGCAGCTCCGGTGCTAATTGTGGTGCTGTGCCAATGATTGTGCTGCCTTGGTGCTAATTGTGGTGCTGTGCTGCTAGTTGTGGTGCTGTGCTGCAAATTGTGGTGCTGTGCTGCTAATTGAGATGCAATGATGCTAATTGTGATGTTGCGGGCTAATTTTCATCTCATTGTTATTAGTTTTTGCTGCTTGCTTCTCTGTTGCTGATTGGATTCCTGATTTTTTCCTGGTGCTGCCTCTGCTGCACCGCAGTGACTTCGAACTACCAAACAACACTCGAGTTGCTGCTGTTTGGTTCTTATGGCTACTGCAGACGTTGACTGATTTGTTTGTGTGCGGCAGTTCTTATGGCGACTGCAGACGTGGATTGATTGGTTTGTGAGCTGCACTTCTAATGGCTACTGCAGACGTGGATTGATTAGTTTGTGTGCGGCAGTTCTTATGGTTACTGCAGACGTGGATTGATTGGTTTGAGCGCGACAGTTCTTATGGCTGCTGCAGACGTGGATTGATTGGTTTGAGCGCGACAGTTCTTATGACTGCTGCAGACGTGGATTGATTAGTTTGTGTGCGGCAGTTCTTATGGCTACTGCAGACGTGGATTGATTGGTTTGAGCGCGACAGTTCTTATGGCTGCTGCAAACGTGGATTGATTGGTTTGAGCGCGACAGTTCTTATGGCTGCTGCAAACGTGGATTGATTGGTTTGTGCGCGGAAGTTCTCACATTCTACATAGTGCGCGCTTTACTTGTGAATGTTGGGGCAGGTTTGCATGCAGTTTGACTCACAAATGTGGAGGTAGGTCGGCGAGCATGGGGGTGCGATAGGCCGCGATGTGGTGGGGGGTGTAGAGGTCCAGGCGCTGGTAAGGGTTGACGCTGATGAGGTCGCCCGCTAACTTGGTCTGCACAGACAACTCTTATTAACTTTAACTATTCTTTAACTATTTATATTGACTAAACTAATAACTATGCATGGACATGATTGCTTGTCTGCAATCATCATGTGAATGATTAATAGAAATCAGGCAGTGATGTGGGATTTTAGAAGAACACATACGTATAATTAATATGAGATTTAAATTGCTTATTTCACTGATGTCTTACTATATTCTGCTCAGTTGAAGCAAAACTGAGCCAAAACAAAATTCATTGTCCTTAGATCGTATGAGGAATTTATTGAAAGTTAGTTCTGAAGCGTAAAGTAATGACCAATTGTTTTGATATAGTCAAAAATATGAGAAAAAATGCATTTATGCCGCACATATATAAGTTATTCTAGGAAAAAATCATCAAAGCAGCCATGGACGGAATTTTGGAATCATTAATTGTCGAAATGCTATCAAAATGTGATTGCAATTAACAAGATATATTCATTTGCATTGCAAGTGTCTTCCAAGAAAGCCAATCAAGCTTAATTTTGCAGTAAATATTAACATTATCTTCTAAATTTATTTGCCAAGTTCATAATCAACAAACTGAATTTCTCCACAGTTTCCTGCAGGTTTAAGGTGACTTGTTTCTTACGAACGAAATAGATAGAAATTATCCATTTAGCGATTGGGTAAAGGGCATCACTATTGAGAGTGCTTGGACATTTCGGAAGAAACTCTACGCACTTTACTACGAGTATTTAAATAAATACCAGCACGATTTCTTTTATCATGTCTCTGCATTAACTCTTTGCATCGATGTAAAAAATTATTTAAAATATATGTTGGTCGGCAAAAAATACGATTGTTAAAAATAGGATAGTGACCCAATGAAGAAATTGAGCAGCAAAATATACTGAACAGTTAGTGTCCCTTTAAAAATGGCTTTCTTTGTGGAAATGCGAATTCGATCGCTAAGCAAGATGAGATAAAAGAGTAAAGTATTGAAAAAGAAAAGTGAGTGAAGAGTGAAAATATATAAGAAATCTAGGGTTTGGAAATCGATCAGGGAAAAATCTTTTATGACTGCATGTGGACAGCTCTAGAGAAAACTAACGTCGGAGAATGTAATTTGAAATGTGGCCCCAACTTGGTGCAGCTAACATAGTTATAATTTCAATAAATACAATTACTTTTTATATTGTGAATTGATGTATAACTACAGCAACACGTGCAGCAACTATTATCTACTCACGTAGATAATATCGCTCTCGTATCTGACAACGAGGTTGTGCACTATCGCCTCCTCAGTGACGCTGCTGAGGCAGCAGCAGTCGGTTACCCCCGCTTCAGGCTCCACATCAAGGGCGCCCCAGGCGCTGGTAGACCCTCGGCCGCCCCTGAGACCTTCCGCCCCCTGCCGCTGTCCCGGCCGCCCTGGCCCTAGGCTGCTGATGGAACCAGAGAACGTTATTCAGTGCGAGCTCTCAGAAAAAAGTTAATGATTCTTTCAAAATGTTAAAAATGAAAATATCAATGCAATGAATCAAATTGAACTCTTGTACTATGAAACAACTGACCCTAATCGTCATGGGTGTGAGCCGCTTGCAGCTTGAACGGACTGGTAGAAGCTTCAAGTGATTTTTTTTTAGAATTCATCATTCATGGAAATGATAGTTAGGCTGCGATTTTTGTTATGTAAGGCATAACAAATATGAACGAAACTTCATCACATTATTATTAGAACTAAAGAACGAAAAAATGATTGGAATACCACGATGAATTACCTCGTAAGCGCGAGTCCCCTGCAGGGGTGGCCGAAGGAGGCTACCCGGGAGCCGTGTGAGCGCAGGCCTCGCGATGCGAGTCTCGCTGACGAAGGCGTCGACGACGACGACGAAGATGGTGACGGGGTCGCGGCGCTGGAGGATGACAGCTGGTGCACTGCCGAGAACGGCGGTGGTGCGGCGGAGAATGGCGGCGGTGCGCCGGAGAACTGTGCTGGTGCTGCCGTGATGCCGGCATTAACATCGGAACGCTGTCCCGAGCTAAATTGTTGTTGTTGTTGTTGTTGTTGTACACGGAGGTGGAGGTGGTGATGGGAGTGAGGGTACTGGTGCTGGTATCTAGTGGAAGATGACTCAGCATCTCCGGTGATGGTGTGGAGGTCGCTGGTGCTGCCCCCAGCACAAGGCTCCTCCAGAGGACGCCTCCATCCTGATGGCATCGCAGGGCCGATACGCAACGCTGTGAAAGAACGAAGTTCATAGACATATAACATAGCATTATTATTCATAATTGTTGGGATGGCGCACCATTTATTACAAAAAACTAATGCTAAATAACCAAGCAACAACCTTCTTGCGCATTCTCGTTCAGGTTTATCCTTTCTATTTGAATTTCAATTTAAACTGCAGCACGAATTTCCCAAGTAGACGAGTTCTCAGATATCTTTTTCGAGTAATAACTAAAATGTATAAAATTTTCGTTTCGTTTAGTATAAAAAATTCTGAGAAAAGTCACAACTTTCAATGGGTCCTGTCTCACTCTTTTCCTCGAACCAGCAACTATAGTGTGTAAGTCTCATTCATTCATTATGCACTATGCTGCTACAAAACAAATCTTGTTGTGGCGAGGGTGAAGGAAAAGAGGTGAATGAAATAAATGCATTATTTTCCTTACAGGCAGCTCAACTCGAAAATTCCTAATGGTATCAGAAATTCCTCATGGTAAGCTATGCACATGTTTTATCAATCCAGGATTATCAATTGAAAGTGAAATGAATACATAACAAATTATTTGTCATAACTTGCGACGGTGTCGTATGCAGGGTGGTTCACTATCGCAAATTTACGGTGCAGTCAATAGGGCTCGCGAGAAAGGTAATCATCCTAAGCGATGTTTGGAATCACAATCACAAAATTAAGTTTGTTTACTCGTTTGAGGTGATAATTTCACAGCAATAAATTTTGCCCGAAAGGTCTATTTTTTGTTATAAATTTATGTTCTGTAATAGTCTTCATATATTTTTTGAATTGAAAACGTCAGCAATTCGAAGTCCTATTCTGTGAACGAATGCTGCTCATACGATCGCCATTAACGTGAACATTGTTATGCGGAGTTCAAACATGAATGTTTTAGACATGTGTAGAATCATGTGTAATTTTGTTACAGAATTCAATAGTTATTTAACCGAAATGACTCAATTTAGGGCATAGTCCAATAAAAAACTATATGCAACGCTCAGGTCGGAACTTAATCAGCTCTCATCTGCATTGACGTTAAAAATCACAAGTAAAATTTCTGAAGCTGAAGCATCCATAATTTAACCCAAATCTAAATTAGGGCTGCAAAATTCAAGCTGCGGTATGAAGAATTTATGCCATTTCATGTTGCAATAAATGTATGTACTGAGAAAGTGAAGACTTACACTGGAGCTAGAATAATTCAACTACATGAATATAGTCCATTGTACTGGCATTGCCTTTCGATCTATTGACACTTGTAATTATACCCCTGAAAATCCGGTACATAACGAGGGCTCATAAAGACACTGTCAATTCATCTATGAGTCTCTAGATCTTAATCATATGTGGGAAGGCTAAACTTGTCCGCTGTTCAGCAGAAATTCAGTTTTTTCTGGCGGATCCGTTGTAAGGATTTTGTAGCTCAAGTGTTAAGTGTTAGGTTATCGTAGCTCTGATGTCAAGTGTGTTAGGTTCTTGCGGCTCTGATGTCAAGTGTATTTATTTCTTCTAATTTGTTCTCATGGATCATTTAATTTCAGGCCATTTTCAATGATGTTACCTCAACAAGATGTAACCATGTAGGATTGAATTTGCCAATCAAATATTTGACAACCTTCACCAACTTCATATGAGCTCACGTAATTTAAATAAAGTTTCAAACTTGATCTTGCAGAGGGACAATAAAAGATTGAACGGCAATAGAAGAAACTTTTACCGTATTAAAAATAACGCCTAAGGTTAATTTTTTTATTTATGCAAGATATTAGGTGCTGTTAAAATTGCTGGAATGAGAGCAAATTTTTATATTATCGAAAATTTAAAATTTAATAACGCGAACAAATATAGACAAAAATTAAAAGCAAATAGCAAAAATTATTGACTCTTGTTCCTATTTTTCCATAAAAAATATAAAATGGTAATTTTTCCTCAATTTTCGGAGCAGCTATGGTGTGAAAATTTCATTATTAAAACGAAGTAAGTATTTGCTTCTTTGTTTTTGATCATGTAGGTGCCATGTTGTTGAATTGATTGTAGCTGAACATTGATTAGTTAAAAATCCCTCATTGATTTGCATAAAGCAAAAAACGAGTCATAGCTGAAACTGTGTGAGTCATCTTTTGTTGTAAAATGATTTTAACTTCAGTGAAGCATCATTTCACTCGTCTAATGGTTCCGATGTTAAGCAAACAATAACGACGAAGGATCCGGAGATCTAATCGGGGAAGTGTTCAACAACACACATAGAGGAACATTGGATCATGTTTAAATATCAACATGAATTCAAGACCGCATGAGTTGTTCTTCCGTTGACTTGCTGGTGTCTATGCACGTCGAAACTACTGGTGACAGTTCCCTCGCACCGTGTGTAATACGGCACATCAAGCATATGAAAGTCACGGGTTCTCAACCACCAGCCCGTGACTGTTCCCTCGCGCGTATGTAATACGGCACATCAAGCATATGAAAGTCACGGGTTCTCAACTCACCAGCCCGTGACAGTTCCCTCGCACCGTGTGTAATACGGCACATCAAGCATATGAAAGTCACGGGTTCTCAACTCACCAGCCCGTGACAGTTCCCTCGCACCGTGTGTAATACGGCAGATCAAGCATATGAAAGTCACGGGTTCTCAACCACCAGCCCGTGACAGTTCCCTCGCACCGCGTGTAATACGGCAGATCAAACTTATGAAAGTCACGGGTTCACAATCCTCCAGCTCGTGACTGTTCCCTCCCACCGTATGTAATACGGCTCATCAAACTTATGAAAGTCACGGGTTCTCAACCACCAGCCCGTGACTGTTCCCTCGCACCGTGTGTAATACGGCTCATCAAACTTATGAAAGTCACGGGTTCACAATCCTCCAGCCCGTGACTGTTCCCTCGCACCGTGTGTAATACGGCACATCGAGCTTATGAAAGTCACGGGTTCTCAACCCACCAGCCCGTGACTGTTCCCTCGTACAGTGCACAACACTGAATATATCATGCACATAAAGTCAGAGGTTCGGCAACCATCAGGACAACAAATGATCTACGATGTCGGATCACCAATTGCGTTGTTCCAGGAAGAACGTCATTAACAGCGCCTTTGATTCGGTTGAGGACATTTCCATGATGTGCCGCACGCGCTCCGCATGCATTAATGAATTTTATAGAGTAATTTATTTGAAAAATGACGGTACTGGATGCGGCGTCGAAAACAATGATTTCTGAAATTATAGTTCCGGAAATAATTATAATAATTTTGATGCGTGAAATCCAGTGGCCCATGAGTCAAACTAAGCACTAACTCGAGTAATCGTCGTATCACGAATATCTTACCAATCGCACGCATCACGAATATCTTACCAATCGCACGCATCACGAATATCTTACCAATCGCACGCATCACGAATATCCAACCAAACGCACGCATCACGAATATCAAATCCGATGCAGACGGCCCTAATAACAAACGAACAACTATGTTCATATCAGTTACATAGGTTTATATCACCAATATCCAACAAATTACGATCATCACGGGTATAAAAAAATAAGTTAAGTTTACGTCATTGAATAAACGCACCAATTAAAGACTAAGCTAAACGAACATTCCCCAAATGATAATCAATTAATAAGATATAGTCACAACAATAAAATTAATAGAGGGGTAATCTTTTATCCAAATCGCCATTCAGTCCCGGAAGAAAAACATTCCAAGCCACCGACTTGAATTTGATAACTTCCTACAGTTCCCAACTACAGTTATTTTTTTTTTAAATCATTTTCAATTTCTAAGTAAAATGTATGATATATTGCGTGAAATTCAGAATGTATACAAAAATGCTAAATTTGTAAAAAATTCTGCGTAAAATAAATTATTGCTTGGAATACAGAAAAAAATATTAATCATACTGATAGAATTGCAGTATCGTGGCCCATATCGAGGCCTGCCTGTAGAGAGCAGACTTACTGGGGGCAGAGTTCCGTCGGCCAGCGATCTGCCTCGGAAGTTCTGGTCGATACTCAGTGACGAGTGAACGTCCATGCTTACTTCGCGCCATTATGTCCTCTATTCGCTTCTCTATTTTGTGGCGCTCGAGTCTCCACAACTTATAATCTTCTCCTGAAATTTCAGAGCAGATTTTCATGCTTGGATAAGATTTTTGGCCTTGAGGCATGAAATCTTCTTGACAATTTCTTCTGTGAGAAGGGGAGACTCCACGAGACGTCGAGCGAGAAGATCTGCTCGGCGAAGAAGAAGATAGGTCCTGAAGGTCATTACAGCGTTTCACAATTGGCTCGACTAGGAATGTTACTTTTCTAGGACCCCGCAATCCATTTTTCGGGGAAGGCGATCTTTCCTTCATGACACTTTTTAGGCGTTTGGTGTCGCTGTTTGTGTCGTGGTTCTTTGAATTGCATATTTGGGTTTGCGGGAGCTGGACAAGTTCGCTTTGGAATTGATCGTCCTGCGTAGTCCCAAAACTTTCTCCTTTAACTTGATCCATTTTCCGATTAAAATATGTGACAGACTCATCCTCTCTTAGTTCTTCTTTCCCATTTCCGTCCTCATGATCCAGTAAATTACCTTTTGTTTTGCTCCCGGTTCCTTTATCTCGATTAGAATCATGAACAATTTCTTCTTTCTTATTCATTTTATGGCATGGCTTCCGATTCCTAACACTCAGGTTAGTTGCAAGGAACTTTTCTCCATGCTGCTTAGAATTGGAACTCGGACAGGATTTTTCATTACAGGGCACGACCAATAATGAATTACTGCGACCAGGTTGAAACTCTATAGATGAGTTATCATTCACTGAACCAATTGAATACGAAGATGAATTACTTGTCGAATCTTCACTGACTTTGAGATAATATCCATTGAGATGAGATCCTGTTTTGGCTCTAGTAGGAGAAGACATTATTTGTGAACAACCACATTTATATGGCTAATGAAATAAGTTTAAAAATTTCCGATCGACCTAAAATTT